TTTGATATGATGATGTTAAGAAATAGTTCATGCTTGAAGAACAAATCTTGAGGAACATACCCAAAATCGGCTTCTTAGCTGTGGGTAAGCAGTCAGTGTCGGACCTTTAGTCCCTAGCCCCTCTTTGACAACCTGCACTATTATTTTGGTGCCTTTCCGAACTTGGAACCATTTATTTTCAGCGGTTACTGTCTGCTTAGAATCCTTTTCATCTTGGAGAAGAGACGATTGAGAACCGTGGGAATAATTTGCAGTAGCTGAATAACTGTTGCTAGCATTGCTGTCTTGATGTACCTTATCATCTACGCAGTCTTCAAAGTCGGCATCTAGATCACCGTCATCATCTACAACGCTCCCATTCACATTTTCTCTAAGAACCTCTGAAACATCAAAGCCATCCTCAACTTCATTGTCCTCGTGGTCACCGACACCATCGGTTTTTGTATTAGTCAATATACTTTCATCTTGTGATGTTAGTTGTCCTTGTATGGAGCCATTGACCACTCGTTTATTTGTCCTTTGACGAAAAGGAGGGAAGATGAAAGGTTCTCTGTTTTGCTTAATGTCCATTAGAGAAGGTCTAGTGTTTCCAATATTTACAAATGCACCACCCATGTGAGGAACAAGTTTTGAGACAACCCCTAAATACACACTATCACACTGGACATTGCTTTTAACCGGTTCCAGTAGCAGCTCTACCAATTTTCCTTCCTCCAACACAGCAATCCGCTGCATGGTGCATATCGATGAATTAATCAGTATGACGGTCGAAATAGGGTCCAACGTTGTATCAACCCCAGCTGCAGGCAGCAGATTCGCTGCATCTTCCAATAGGTGATCTCGAGTTTCTAGTAGTGTTGTCTCTTCTTTTACAATAACATCATTTTTCAGCAGATCGGGTGCCAATTCCGACACATTCTTAGATGGATAAAAAAAGAGGGGTAGCTGAATTAACCACGGTTCCTCAATAGGTTGATGTCTATGGGATTCCGAGCTCTGACTTGTAGAATCCATCAGTTCCTCATGATCAGAGTATAATTTATCATATATCACGGTACCATTTAAATTTATGTTGGGCTCAATAGAATCACTCTCATTACATTCTTCTTCAGATACACATTCATCTGTCAAATCACTGGAAGCATTTAAGTGTTCAGAAGCATTTTAAGAGAGGAATTTGCTTGACGATGGAAATCAAAATGAGATATTACCTTCTGCTGGAAAAGATTTCGATGGCAGTTCCTCTATCCATGAATCCCATGTGAAAACTGAAGGGCGTGTGATAGCAAATCTCATCCACGAATCCCTCACCACGATTTGTTTATTATGTTCGACACTTTGAGGTAGGCATAGAGAGAACTCAGGTCCAGTTCTCCAGATGACAGATGAAGGCAATGATTCTTCCTTGATAAAATAATTGTACTTGAAATTTATGCCACGAGCTATCTGCCAAGAACGTAAAGAGGGGACTTTGAAATGAAACAAAATAATAGTGTAACATACAACACACCGCGGCTTTGGTCATCACCTTGACTTCAGCCTTCCATAAGTTTGAATGATCCACATGAGACATTTGTATCGCCATATTTGGTTCCCACGAGCCTAATGCGATAGGGTCCCCAGTTAGGTAAAGAAGTTGATCGGCTTCCAAATCAGCTTCAATAGTCCAAACTACTTTGCATACTCCTTCAGAAGCAATTGAGGGTTCATCAGCAATTCTAAGCAATAAGTAGTGACATGAAAGGAGAGCAAGAATATCATATTTATGAGAAGATATAGGAAGAGTACGTCCGCCTCATTGCATGGGGCACGGTCCACGGTCCTGAAGTGGTTAATTTCAAATTTGCAATATTAGCTAAATGACTATCAACAGCAACCTAATTATATCCCAATTGACAATAAGACTTGCAAGTTAATTTGAAACTTAGATGCATATTCAACTATATGTTCATTTTTCTGCTGTTGGAGCTCTACATATGAGGAAAACTTTCAAGCTTCAAAAAAGACAAAGACTAACTATAACAGCCCAACCCCACCGCTAGCAGATATTGTCCTCTTTAGGCTTGTCCTTTCGAGCTTTAGCAGTGGACTTGGGCTATTACAAATGGTATCAAAGCCGGACACCGGGCAATGTGCCAGCGAGGAGGCTGAGCCTCGAAGGGGAGGACACGAGGCGGTGTGTCAGCAAGGACACTGGACTCGAGGGGGGTGGATTGGGGGTCCCACATCGATTAGAGAAGGGAACGAATGCCAGTGAAAACGCTAGGCTCCGAAGGGGGTAGATTGTGAGATCCCACATCAGTTAGGGAGGAGAACAAAACATTCTTTATAAGGGTGTGGAAACCTCTCCCTAGCATACCCGTTTTAAAAACCTTGAGAGGAAGCCCGAAACGGAAAGCCTAAAGAGAACAATATCTGCTAGCGGTGTGTTTGGGCCATTATAATAACCGATAAGCACCAAGACGTCATTTTAAGAAATAGTCCTCAGCTGTAACACATGTTACATCGCAATCGGAGTATCAAACAAGACAAGAACTAGATAGAACTAAACTAAATCTGATATGAAACCTTTTTCAGTCATTAAGATATTAAGTGTCAGTCAAGAAACAACGTGATCAAAGGTATATGTCATCTTTAGTTCGTCATAAGAGCAGCAAATTTTGCACTAAGACTTTCAGAAATATACTCATATCCAAGCAAAAATTGATCATCAAATTAAAAATGAACAACTGCTTACCTTTTTGAGTCGACATTATAGGCGACCCTCCAACATAATGATTCTGCCCTGTGCAGAGACGAAATCTCATCTTTTCAACAGGCATGTGCCTGCAAATATACCTGCTTTCACATTGTAGGTTTTACAGAGGAATCATGCAAGAGAATGATCTGAATACATGTAAAGTATAATGGCTAGGAATTCATTATCGCAGGCCTTAAACTAGAAACTATCCATGAAAACCAGCCTGTTTCATGAAACACCCTTGAAGAACAATGAACCAATTAAGACCTCTCTTCTGGAATGACGTACAATAAAGATTAAAACAGCTATTGAACACAATAGAGATAACCCATTAACACCACACGAGAAAACTCGAACTCATACAGACCAAAAACCAAAATGCTGACCGATGTCGTGTTTGAAAAAGCAAGAAAAACCCTCAAAAAAACTCATACAGACAACGAAGAATGCGAGATGTTTTTCATGTTGGAAACTTACGTAGATAGCGATAGAAACTTGTCGGCGCATAGTTGCCAAGGGCCAGAGAGGCGCACGCGGCGGTGCAATACAAGATGGTTAGGCCACGAACAAGCTTCAGGAACAGCCATGAACAGAGGTTGATGATAGAGTTCAGAGGCACAGAGGTAGAGAAATGGAGAACCCATGAAGGGCTAGACAAAATTCCGTCATAGAGAGCGAATTTGAAAAAAGCGAAAAGCCTTGAGCTCTACTACTATGGATAACGAAGGGAAATACACGTGAGGACAGTCGTGAAAGAGGAGCGAGCCTGAGCCGATAGGATTTTCGCTTTTGTCGCTCACTTGGCGCCTTCTTTGGCACGAGTAACAAGGGTTGTACACGAGTCTAGAGTTTTATCCTCCATGCTAGATGAACCTAAAAACCAATTACCATCGCGATTTGGGATAAAGGGCAATGGTAAAACAACGAAGTTTAGGCAAAATCTCCCTCTATTTTCTGTAAAAAGATATGGGTTTGAACAATTTATGCTCTTCAGTTCCTGTTCATCGTCAAAACAAAAGAACAGTCAATCTTTCCTCAGTTTTCTGCCAAATTCATCTTAAAGCATGGGTTTTTACTGTATGTTTTCCTTCTAAGACCAGTGAAAACAAAAGCTTATCTTCAACAATTGACCTTTTGAAGAAATACATACCAATATCTCCCTGTGGCTCGGGCAATAGGTCATTTATCATTACAGCAGCAAAGTTCAAATAGAGAGCTTGAATGTCACGGCAAAAACCAGTGTTAATCGTTTTTGAGATGTTCTTTAGATGCATTTATCAAGAACAGAAATTTCTGTCCTCTAGTTTTTCCCTTTCGAACTTACACTCAAGATTTTAAAACGTGTCTTTCACACGCTTATAGTTCTGTTCCTTTCTCCAACCAATGTGGGATCTCACAATTCACCCTAAATTCATCACCTTAGGGGCCAGCATCCTTATTGGCACACTGCTCGGTATCTTTGATACTCTTTGTAGCTCGGTATCTTTGATACTCTTTGTAGCTCGGTATCTCTGATACTCTTTGTAACAGCCCAATCACATCGATATTGTCTTCTTTGGACTTTCCCTTCCGAACTTTCCTTCAAGATTTTACAATGTATCTACTAGGGAGAGGTTTCCACACCCTTATAAACTAGTTATTGTGTGCCAATCATCTGTTAGTACCTCCACACCCTTATAAACTGGTTACTGCATGCCAATCATCTGTTAGTACCGGACGACCAACGAGCACAAAATTACAAAAGAACAAGCAGCAGCTGACAGAAGAACAACTAAACAAGAACACAAAGCCAAACCGAAAAGTTTTTTCTTTTTTCCAACTCCTCTATCGGATATTCATTTGATCTTCAGAACTGATACCTCTTGAATTTGAAACACTTCACTTTTTTCCAACACTTAACTGATACCTCTTGAATTACTTTACTTTACATGGAAGAATAAAGGAAGAAGACTTGTTGGTAACTGGCAGCTAGAAAGAAGCACATGATCTTCAGAATCATGGTGGACTTCCCATGGTGGCCAAAAGAAGGTTGGAAAATAATCGAAGCTCATGGATGGAGCTGCTTGATTTTGATCAAACAGCTCTAATTACAGTTTTACAAAGCTTAACGATTGTTTACACAATGCAAAGAGGGAGCATAAGGTGGAGGTATCAATCTTAGTTACCCACCAAGATTTGAACAATCGCCAGCATCAATGAACACAATAATTCTAAGAAATGGCTGCTCATGCTGCCAATCCCAATATCCAACAAACAGGACTTGAAAAACTTTTTGCATACTCATTCAATTCCATATACAAAGACAGTGAAGAAACAGTGCATTAACTCAAAGCTAAAGGCACAAGCCAGAAGCAAAACTTCATAAACATATATTTACAGTGACAAAACTTTGGTCTCTAAGACCAGTAAGACACACCAAACTTAAAATATCATACTCAAAGAAGGTAGGAAACGCGTTCAAGAGTATGCTGTACATGAGTTTCCCCTAACTAGATTCTAGCACACTAAACGCTCACCAAAAGCACGATTTCTCTTCTTCTGACATTAGAGGAGTTCTGCAAAGAGGACATGTGATGTTCCAGTAATCCAGCCACTTCTCCAAGCATTCTGTGTGAAAAAGATGGCCACAAGATAAGTGATTTATCTCTGATTCAGGTTCAAATTGAGTTAAACAGACCGAGCAGTCGTGTTCGAGACGTTCGGAGCCCTGTACTTTATCAAACCTAATACTTGGATATCTGTTCCGAAACATCTCGAGGTAACTCCAAGAGGAGCCAAAGTTGGAATCTCCCAACTCTGAGGAGTTTTCAAAGGAATCTGTAGATGGGACTAAGGATGATGGCGATGAGAAACGGATTCCTAAAATGTGAAGGATCAAACGAACAATGCATCTGAAGATGGAAATGGATAGTGCAGCGTTTATGAGAATTGCGTTTAGGACACCTTCAGATGGAGCTGGAAGACTGGAGAGGCCCATCGTGGTTGAAGTGAACTTTTCAAGCTCAGTCAGTACAAGCGGAGAAAAACTAGCAGGCTAATCGGAAATACACAATGATTAAGAGGTTGCAAGCAAGCCTTTCTTCATATCAGACCTGAAACAAGTTACCAAATAACTAAGAACCTTTCACTACCACGTAATGAAGAACAAATTTCAGGAATAAATCATCGGGAATGAAAAAGAACTATGCAACTGATTAATGAAAATTCAACAACCAAAATATGAACTTGACGAAGAAATAGAGATCCCTAAAGGCAGAATCTGAAGGAAAACAGAAGAGGATTCGTTTTGTTCCATTAAATCATATGAAATTACATGAATCATGATCCACAGGTCGACAGCTACCATTCAAGAACGGATTTCTGTAACAATAAACCCTACAGCTGAAGTTCCAATTTCAAAATCTTCACAGTTATAGTGATAATGAACGACATGGACAAATTTCAACAATCTAAAAAATCCAAGAACAAAAATCTTCATAACATTCCACAAAACACTCGTAAGGAATTCAAAACACCCCAATTCTAGTGAAAATGGAAACACTCCATCATCATCATCAACCTGAATAACAGACAATAATCCACCGAAGGCAAAAGTTCACAATCGACCAATGAAATGAGCAGAAATGAAGAATCTGAAATGGCCATAAAATCGATTCCGCCTTTACCAAATTCAGAACCCACCTAACAAAACACATTAATGGAAAGTGAACATTTCTTCAGAAAGAAACGAAGCACGAAAAAGGAGCGACCAGAAACTTACTTCAATGCCTTCGATCTTCGAGAACGAACGGAAACAGAGAAGGTACGATCGAAAACGGTAGCAAAAAGAAGAAGAACAGAGAGAAATCGTGGAACTGTTTGAGATAGTAAAAAAATGATGATCAGTTCATCTTGATTCGACTGATTCAGTGTTCTTCGGCCATCTATATAGGCGATCGGAGGAACCTCGTCTCTCTAACTCACGTGCCTCCACCATTTTTTAATTACAAGAATAAATAAAAATTCTAAAGTATTAAATTATATATATATATATATATATATATATATATATATATATATCTATCTATCTATCTGTTGAGAATTATTAGGAGTGAGTCTCGCATTAGTTAATCTAATGGAAGATTAGGTTTATAAGTGAGCAATACTATCTTCATTGCTATGAGGTCAGAAGCATAGAGCATGAGAGCTTATTATACAATTTTAACAATATAAACCGTAAAAAAAACCATATTTTTAAAATATAGTACTAATAATTTACGTCCAATTTATTGACACTAAGACAGACAAGAAACATATTTTTTGTCATCATCTCTGGTTTTTACCCATTTGTTCTCGTATAGTATATAAATAAACTCTGATGCTAAGACAGACAAGAAACATATTTTTCGTCATCATCTCTAGTTTTTACCCATTTTTTTTCTCGTATAATATATAAATAAACTCTAATATATCTCTAATTTTCCTAAAAATGTCGTATTTATCCATCAGCTAAATTTATATGAGGTAAATACATCATTTAATTTTAAATATTATATTATTTTTCTGATGATATTTTAAAATTCTTATTTTTTTTAAATAATTTATTTTGTGGATAAATAATTTATGATAGAATGATAAGTAAGACGGAGGGTGAGGATGAGAATAAGGAAGTCATATGCGTCACGAGAATAACTAACGATATATTTTATATAATTACGTTAAAATATTTTTATAAAATCCTATCTCCACAATATGTTACGAAATTAAACGGATAATTTGAAGGTAAAATAATAATAATAATAAATTTCCCATGTATATTACAATTTAGCAAAAAAATATCTAATTCAACCTTAATTTTTCTTTGAAAAAAAAACATAAAAATCAACTCAATCATGGCCGTTGAACTTATCTAATCCGACACGTGTTTCTTACGATTTGCCAGAAGTCCAGGCCCACGGCCACACGAAACCGGCACGGTCTGAATGTGGCGGCTCCACGCGGACTACGTGTACATTTCGCAACACGTGTTTCTCCACAATACGGCCACGTGAATTCCCGCGTAATTATTCTTAACCCCACAATTAACAGCGTTAACAACACTGGGTGTCTAATCTCCACGTGTCGTTCTCTGATTATGCCGTCATCGGATATCGTGGTCCCCCAGCAAAGCTCACCTTAGAATGCTGGACAGGTGGCAAGCACATTTAAAAATGTCCCCAATGGTATGAAGTTAATGTGTGACGTAGACATTATTTTGAATGTTTATGTCATTTTTTTAATAGTTTTTTTTCCTATGATAATTAAATGGATTTTTTTCGTAAGTTTCTCGGGTTGACTCACTCCAAATCAGTTCTATTCCAATTCTGGTGAACGAGTAAAGACGATATAACAAGATAACTAGAGAATCCCGATGAAAAGATACAATGTGACGGTACGAGATTTTAGTCTCTGATATCAAGAAAACGAGTAAATATCAATTATTATTGAGTTATGCTTACATCGAGACCAATGCGGAAAGAGTTAATGAAACAAATTAACAAACTATTTTTTTGGTGTGCCGAAATTACGAGAAGTTCGTGAAGCGAAATAATAGTTATTTTGTCAAATTGACGAGACTAACTTGACATATCATTGTCTAGGTAGCGCCCCACGTTAGGGTTCCGTGTCATCCAAACAAATACACCATTTATTGCTAAATGAACAGTAGTGGCCGCCTCTCGGACACTTTAAGTTGATAGCTTACTAATGTAATTTTTTAGTACGTTAAAAGAAGAGATCAATGTCGCTATTTATTGTTTGTCCAATTTTTTCATTTGAAATATTTATGATATTATAAAATTACCGTAAGAAGTCTTGTTCAACGCATTTAGACCCAACCCACAATATAATATCTCACGGGTCCTATAGTATGTCACTGTCACCGTCTAAATATTTTTCAATTAAAATTATATATATATATATATATATTGTGTTAAATTAGCTTGAAAGTGTAATATTTCACTATATTGTAAATTAATTTATAATAAATTATTAAATTATCTATTAAATATTGTATTAAATTCTATAAATCATAAAAACATATAAGACGTGCTAAATTATTAATAGATAATTCTGGATAATTTAAAAAATGAATAATTCTAAAATTAAGATTTCCTTAATAACAAAAATAAAAAATAAAAAAATAAAGTGAAAGTAGATAATTCTAACGGATAATTATTTGTATAAATATGGAAAATATTGAGAATTATAGGGATAAAAATGGAAAATGACATAATAGTGTCGAAATCAAGTCAACGTCAATTTGGCTAAAATAATATTAAAATAATAATATTAAGATGAGGACAAGTTGGGCCAGTTGGAAGAACGGCCCAAAAACATCCATTGAACCATGCGTTGGGAAAGGCCCAAACGCAGCAGCCTTGGGGAAGTGGAATCACGTGGGTTTCACGTGTTACGTTTTTTGTCGTTTTTCGTTTTCATAACAGGCGGCGTTTCGCAAATTGTTCCTTTCTATTAATTGTTTCGACAACGATTGCCTTAATTTCGTTTTCCTTGTCTTGTTTTGTTTTTTGTTTTTTTTTTTCACGCAATTTAATTTTTTTTTTTTAAATACGTGAACAAGTTGAAGACTCCGACATTTTAATTTTAACCCGTTAAATTATATTTACGAACGGTGGTTGTAGGAAGCTCTCGCTACTGAATTTCTATAATATTTAATTAATATTATGGGTCATAATCCGTATGCCCCAACCAAAAAGGTCGCAGGTCGAATTCTCACATCCACTGAATTATTATTATTTTTAATTTAATAATTGCTTGAGTAATAATCAAACCATTAAAATTTAAATGATAATTGATATATTATCCATTAAACTATGCTCGTAACATTATCATTATTACTTTAAGACCGATTGAATTCATTAAAATATATATATATATATATATATATATATATATATATATATATATATATATATATAATTG